CCCTTCAAAATTCTTCTTACATGACATGCAGTTGGAATTAATAGAAAAGGGAGCTGTGTAAGCAGTAACTTAGCAGACTATTTTTGATTTCATCACATATTGAGAAAACACAAAGCATATGAAAAGGATTAGCTTTAAAAAAAAACAAAAAAAGGAATAGAGATTGAAGAAGAATTACCTTTGTCTCGACAGATAGAGGAGGAAAGATCTCTGGCGAAAGCCCAGATGAACACTGCTCCTCGATTTTTGGTAGTTCAGTTTTGTAATGCTAAAAACGCCAAATCGAACAGAAATGGATAAGCAAAATGTTACCAGATGAATATAGAACTTACAGTAACATCCGAGTCTACAACCGCTGCATTCCACCAGTGTTTTTCATCGGTTTGCAGCTCTTGTTTCTTCACCTTCAATTCAGCATATAAAGTTGAATGAAAACTTGTATAATGATTTGGCTGAACCACTCATTCCTTGCCTTGAGTGTAAAATTTGTGTTAAAGATGAGTAAAGCAATGAGATAGGAATTGAAATAGAGCAAAACATCGTTCAGATTGACGAGTGTTCCAAAAAAACCTCATTTGATTAAATAGTAGAGTTTTGCTGCTTAGGTATACACAAGAAGTCTTCCCATAGCAGTAGTTTACGCCAAAATTTCGGATTCAGGAGGTGACATCTCAACGAATTTGCCGTAAATTAGTATAAAAGCAGAATGTACAATGGTTGGTATCTGCCTAATGCATAACGTCAGAAACCCTAACTCATATACGTAAATTATGATTGAATTTAGTATCTGAAGATTTTTAAGCCATCAAAATTCAATAAGTGAGATAAATTTGGAATTATCCCAAAGAATAGCGCCAAATCATGTATCAAATAACCAAACAGGTTACAAAGACATATACATAAAAACTTACTCCATTCTGAGGCGATCCAGCAGATTCTGAAGCTAGATGATATTTGACATCTAAGGTCGATGGTGGAACTATCGATACATTTGGCAGCACTACTCGCGGTTGTGAACCTGATGGGATAAATTCGTGGAATTCGAACTGATGGTTGGCGTAACATTCACTTCCACCAGAACCTTCCTCCATTCCTAAATAAATGAATTCGTAATAATGGTATCAGGATAAG